CGAATCGGAGACAGGAATTCTTCGCTGGAATTGTGGTCGATTTATGGCATAGGCAGAAGGATCGTGAGCAGCTCCGAGGCTGTGTTGTCCCGCGGCAACGGCGACCAGCGCCTCCCCTTGTCCCGGACGCGCATCAATGGCAGCTTGCGTCCTCAGGCGGGTTTCCTCCCTAACTAGAGTGCCAAGCACCCCATCAAATTGCAGAATGTCCCGGTACAGTAGTGTGGCACGGACTGACTCAAATTCCGGCCGTAATTTCATGAGAAAATCCATGAGCCTGGTCTTCATACGTTCAGCTATAGCTTCTTCTGTGAGAACATTCTGAGGTCGCAGTGCAGCATGGAGGAGGTCTTGCTCCGTCCAGAGTTCCTGTGCGTTGAAATATTCAGAAACGGATCTATCTCCTTGTTCTAGCCGTGTCAAAGCCGCCTGGACCTCAAACTGTCGTGCTGCGTTCACGGTGGAGTACATGACGGCGAGATGACGCCACATACGATTCGTTGTCGGATATAAACGGAGACTGAGACAAGTAGAAGGATCTACCGAGCCAAGGAGCCACGACCGGACGCGAGCGTCGTTCTGATTCCAGGTGCGTACCTCTTGTGAAGTGACCGATCCTTCTGGTTTTGGCTGCGTCCCATCGAGTATGCCCAGCAGATCTTTCCCTTCGACGAACACCCGGAATTGGAACTCCCAGAGTGCATAGTTGGTGGAGTTCAGACGAACGGTAGGCCGATCAGAATCGATTATCGGAAGCTCTGATACCATGTTGATTTATCTTACTGTACGGAAATTGTAAACGGACAAAGAACACTGATTTACGTGGTATCCCTGGATATCCAGGACTAGTCCACGGAAGAGCGCTAGAACACTCTTCGGCTGAGTTCTTACTGATAGTGTTTATGATGATTACAGGAGATACATTGCTCATCTATATAGAAAGACCCTAATGGCCGAAGACCCTAATGGTCGAACCCTAGCTCCACGGGAACACCAATCTCAACGTGGGCCAGTGACAGTTGCATGGGCCAAGACTAACACCAAACTCTATTGGGCCATTTAACACTTACGTACTAAGTTACAAAAAATGGCAGAATGTACATTTAACACATTCCCCATGCGGTTTGTATCAAATAATGGTATGAATGAAATTTTCCCGATAGGGATGTTATTTTTGGAAATTTAGTCTAATGGTGATATTTCTGAAAAAATACCAATAATTTGTGGTACCAGTCCATTCTTCTCTGCTTTTTAAGTTTGGTATTTACAGGTGAACACGATTTAGATCATAAAGCGGCCAGGAAATGGATGGGGATACATACGCAAAGAGATATTTGATGTCATAACCTTGTGAAATTGTACCGAAATGGAATTGGTGAGGTTAATGATTAACATTGAACAGTAAAATGGACAAAACATCTTAATCAGCCTATCATAAACCCTAATTATAAGATCCTCCAGATATCATCTCCATTCTCCGGTATACGGTTTAACTAGTGCGATTGAAATCATTATATTTTTGGACTGCCTTGCCATGAACACTCAAGAAAAGTAAACCACTGTACAAAACCCAAAATTTAGACCTCTTAGTAAAAAAAAAAAATAATAGAAGCTTTGAATTCATTTTTTCTCCAAAATATCACTCATATCATCGAGGAAACAGACAGATGCAAGAGAGTTACATGACTGAAACTAGACAAGAAGTTAAATCAAACCCCACCAAATAGGAGAACAATAACCAAAAATGGCCAAGAAGTAATTTCAACTCATTCTACACAAGTCGACCAATTTAAGCAACGCTACAGAATATACAATATTGATGAGTTGATGATATAACGAAAATATCCTACTCCTATTAACGTTCTTATCTCACGTAGTTATTATACGCATAGGCGGAGGGAGGGCAGTTTGCCCTTGTTCTAGGACAGGGGCAAATTTTGGGAAGGAAAAAAATAATCCTATATATGTTTGAACGGAGAATAAACTCAACACCTACAAGTAATATAAGGATATGTTGGCAGTGCACTATAATGAGAGATTTGTTGATTTGTTGGCAGTGCACTATAATGAAAAATAATCCTATATATGTTTGAACGGAAAATAATCCTATATATGTTTGAACGGAGAATAAACTCAACACCTACAACAGATTGATAGGTATTATAATGATTTTATGGCTGATGAGAGATTTGTTGGATTGAAAGAAATTGATAAATGATCTCAAATCATGGTGGAGACAAAAGTGCATAGGTTATATCGGTCAGTTTATTTGCTTCTGAAATTAGTTTTGATACTACTAGTTGCAACTCCGAACGTAAAAAAAAAAAAGCATTTTTAGATTGATATATTGAGAACAAGTTTTGAAATCAAATTGATGATCAGTTTGTTAATGATTGTTTAGTGGGAATATCGAAAGAGGCTCACTTAAGAGTGTAAACAATTAACGTATTTTGTAATTCTTTCATAATATGAAAACTTGTCGTACAATAATTGTACTAATCGCTTATTTCTTTATCTATTAATGAATTATTTGAATATTATTAATTTTAATTTTAATTTTTTTATATTTTAAAAAAATGACAGGGGTAATTCTGAATCCTACCTCCTCCACTAATTATACGTATTCACATATTTCATAACAAGTATCAATATTTGTGAAACAACCTGATAAGAGGACAATATAAGTAAATATCCGACACAATTAAAATTTAAATTGAATAAATGCAACAATTCGATAAGTTTATTAGTCCTTGCTCGCTATATCTTATCCTCGAAGTAATTTGGAAAAAGAGCTTTTGGTTATAAACCCTAGACTCATGTGATTATCTCTAAAATGATCATGTGTTGCGTACTTGAGGGACAAGAAGATGTGGATCCATGGAAAGGCCAATAGGAGTAGGAACCGAATCAGAAATATGAGGAAAAGAAGAGGTTGGATTGCAAACGATTGTGAAAATCAAATAGATTACTACAGATAACCATGTTTGTCTCGTAGTACTTCCACTAACCACTATAAGGGTTTAACTAATTAATATGCCAATGCTTTACATATAATAAGAGCTAGGCTGAGAATGAAAGTGCATATATATGGAGCAACAGTAGTGGACTTCTTGCTGTTCAAGTTGCAGTGACAACAGAGTAATGTGCAGCTATAGGTGCAAATAATTAACTACATATATACACTGATTTTCACAATCCTTATCCTCTGTGAATAGTTAGTGAATAAACAAAGGTATGGCATTCCACTTTCAGAGCTATGATGGAGTGGGAAGATCATCATATCTCCCAACAGATCTTGGAGGAGTAAGCAAGTGGGTGCTATAGATGCTAGATGGCCAAGCAACAACCTTAACATAATCAAAAAGAATATACCAGAATCATTCAAGTACTGAAGATATTGCTTTACTACTGAAAAAGTACCCCCTGGATCTCTTGGTTTCAAGCGGCTGATACATGCCACTTGTTCTGCTTTTTGTTGCTTTCCCAATAACTTAGCTAAGCATATGTGCAATGTGAGCAAAATTATCAAAAATGTATTTGAATACTACTTTGAGTGAAGATGGAATCACTTTCATGGGTTTTCTTAGCAAACTATGTACGTGTGTGCTTTGAATCGTGCTCTTGAAAGGTGTAAAGATAGAGTACATTAGAAAGATACATAATACCCAAACATAATTTGCTCTCCAAGACTAAAATTAGCGTATGATGGACCTCGTTATTAATACGTAACGTGTAGACTCCTGAACATTGGTGATCGACGCAGCTTCTATCCACTAACGAAGAAGTCAAAGAAGAATTGAGCCAGTAGTCATTCCCTTGCATAGTGGTGGAAATGATTTGAAGATGGGTTGTTGAGTATGGTTGCGATGTTTGCGAATCACGATCAAAGGGAGAATACAGATCCAATTAAGTGAGATTGGAAGATATACTAGGAAGCAGAAATTTGAATCTTTTGAAACGAAGTAGACACAATCGTCCAAAAAGAAACCCCTAGTGACAAGCACCCTTACTCACTCTAGTCGGAGAAACGAGGTCTCTTTTGCACCAAAACTGTGCCAAAGGTTGAGTTCACCCTAGTTTAGACTGTAGGTAAGCAATTATATGCATGGTTTGTCAAACCATATTGAACGTTGTGAATAAGTTGAAATGGAAAAAAATAAAATCAGAGGTACAATCGTGATCTATATGGTAGCACATTAGACAATCAGCATTACACACCGATATAACACTGACAGAAAGAGCCTTTACTATGGCGAATTGCCAATTTAACAGCGCGAAACCAATTGACATGAGTTTTCATAATACTCGTGGACCGATGGCAAGAATTCCTGACAAGGGTAGACAATAACAGAACCAAAGCCAAATGGCTGCCTATAGATTGTTTTCTTCAACACAATTTATTCTAAAGTCGCGCACAAGTTTAAAACAGTACCAGAAAACTGGGGCGACTCCTATAATATGATGATGATGATGATGATGATGATGATAGCTCCACAACACCAAATGAATGGCCAGGGACCTTTGAACTATAAAGAAGAGAAAATGAAACTAAGCCAATACACGTACGCTACGTCGACAAGAATTCTGTACATCATCCAATTTCTTCGTCTATGCGCTATATGGTACATATCCTTTAGAAACAGCCCTTATCTTTTACCACCAAAACATCTCTGTTCTTGCCCACTGCACCTTAGTTTTTAACAGCATGGGATTCAATAAGCCTGTGCTGAGTGAAATGGTGACTCAGTTCTGCCAAGACCTGGATCTTTTTCTAGCTACTCCTAACAAAGGCGAATCTCCAACAGACCAACACATGTACGTTCATACTTTCCATAATGGTCGAGACAAAGTAGCCACAAGAGGCTTTATGATGAAGGGGGATGATTACCAGCTGGCGATGTCTAATTATTCCGACTGATGGAACGAAAAAATGACAGTCGATGATCAGCTGCTCGCTCCTCAATTTTGGGGCAGTTGGGTAAGGCTCCAACTTGGAGATTTCATTGCTTGATTGTACGGAGCTCCCAGTTGCCCTCGCCATCAATAAGACGTAGTTCCATTGAGTGGAATGGAATTAGAGCAGGACGCTGGCACGCATAAGATAACAGATAAGTGAAAGCGACTAAACATTAAGTGAATTACATTAACTTTATAGAAAACTAGAACAAACAGATCGAGCGAGGAGGATGGAAGTATGAATTTTACCTGAGAGGAGGTAACCACCGTGATACCCATTTCTGTAGCAAGTCTATAAAGTTGTTCCTCAACATCCACACTCGTAGCACTGCAGAGTGAAACACAGAAGAAAAAATCATTTGAATAGATTTGAGGAAACACTGCCACCTGAAAAGCAGCTTTGTAATGTTACCAAACATGTGATGGTTGACATATTAAAAGAATGTGGCATTTTCAGCATACTTAGTGCACTCATCGAGGATGCCAAATTCAGGACTGTGGAAGAACAATCGGGCCTAGAAAAAATAAGAACAATGAATAGCTTAGCAGAAGAATACGGAACAAGAATTCCGAGACATTATTTTGCACAAGGTTTTTTATTCCTAACATGGGGGTGGGGGTACGCTTACCATGCCCAATCTCTGTTGTTCACCTAGAGAGAGCATGTCTTCCCAGTTCTGGTTAGAATCCCAACCACCTTGTTCTCTCTCCAAAAGATAATTCAGTCTAACATTCTCCAGAATGATTCTCAGACGAGAATCCAGAACCTCACTTGTGTCAGCATGTTCATAAACTGAATCTGCAATCATAACCACCACCGGAAATTGACTGAACCGAAATCACAAATAGCAAAGATGGGGAAAGCTTGGAAGCTCAGTAAATTCCTAGAAACCTATTCACCCACAATGAAAAGAAGTATATTTCAAGAGAACTGTCATCATCCAGCTGCTACTTTCAAAGGCCATGGCAGAGTAGTAGCTTTTGTCAAGAAGCTAAAAAATCGAACTCATTACGAGTGCCTACTAGTCCAGATACTATCAATAATTAAAATCGGAACGGGCTGATCAATACTGCATATTCCTCCGGATACTGACCATATAAATCCCTTTCCACGTGCAAAGTCGTCAGAATTACGGATCCTAAACTGGGCATAGATTAAAACTGTAGATAAGTAGTCGGTTCAATGGATGTATAGCTATTCACTGATGCAGAGAAATAATCCTCATTCACCTCAGTTTCAGGGCAGGAAACTCATACCAAACCGATGCATTTTACAATCATCCTTGAAATCCTTTAGGTACATTAGGCACAAGATACCACAAACAATGCCTTCAGAATCACCAACCCAACAAATAGAAAAGCTAGATCGCTATCCTATATTGATAGCAACAACAATCTTAATGCAAGGAACCACTCACTGAAAGAGTGGTCTTTGGCACTACGACTCATAGTTAGAGTTGTTGAACATTGAGAATTTAGAATAGACACAAAATCCACTGGTCCTAAATCTCAAGAAATAAAAGATGAAAATAATAGCTCTTGATCTAAAAGATACACACATATGTTGAACTGAACTTACCTTTCCCAAACAGTCTTAGTGTCCTGATCGTTGCTTCCTCACGTGATAGAGGATATATGATTTGGTCTCTCAATGTTCCCAAACATGTGTAAGGTCGTTGGGGAACATAAAAAATGCCACATCCATATCCTTTCTCTTCGCTAAATTGTTGCAATGGTTTAGCTAGTCCTCCATTCGCAATTGGCCATAGACCTCTAAGCACCCTGAAAATTGAACTCTTTCCACTGCCATTTGGACCTTGATCATTGAAAAGAGCCACATCAGTTGCAAGTCAACACGGCCCAGAAACATAATAATATGCAAAAAGCAAAAGAGTGTAAATCAAGAAATGAAATCTACCAACCAGTGACAAGCAGGCTTTTCCCTTGTACAATTTCACACGTCAGCTGCCATGCCAACAATTTCTGTGACGGGGTAATAATATCAGCCTCGATAAAGGATATTGCATCTTTTGAGTGAAGGTATCGTTCCGAAGGCATGGAAAGTCTATCTGTTAAACCGTCACCTGTTTGCAAACATAGTGTTAAGCCAATTGCACAACTGCTGGACCACACAACCCGCGCCTCGTTAAGGGACCAAGAAAAATGTTGAAGAAAGTGCAGTAACTGGTTTTAGTTGGTGCACAAAATTACGAGAAACAAAAGTATATGCAACTACACATCTCATGGGGCTCATAACCGTAAACTTCAGTCCCCAGACGAGTGAGAAAATTAGGCAAATGATCAGCTTTCGGAAGATGCTTTCAAACAGCAGTAAATTTAATTTAAGAAACTGGAAGGCCATTGTTTGCTTGATTTTTCTTCTCCTCTTCAAATAATCATCTAAAACAGATTGAATTTTTCTTCTCAAGAACCAACTCATTTCTACAATCAACTTATTCCAATGCCAAGCTTTAAAAAATATGTACATTCTAATGATCACCGATTCCAAATAACCCCAAAAATTGCCTCTCAACTCAACAGTCCATGGTAAGACTTACTTTCCAGCAAGAAACATTTATAGCTTAAGTATGATCTTACTATGAAATAACAAGCCTCTGCGTCAGAGGTGACAAGTGAGACTCAATCGCAGACCCCCTAACCAGAGGTATCTGCGACAGAATTCCACTTTTCATAATTTTGCATCACATCCACTCACTAAATCTATTCCTCTTAGTCCCCTGATGGTTCTTCAACCCTGACACTTGTCAAACCAATTCTTGAAAACAGGCACAGCAGTTATGTTTTCATGCTGAAGAAGTAAAATTCAAAGAACCCCTACTTCCCTCGTATCACTCTTGGAAATACATCACTTTTCAAATCATAAGAAGCAGAGCCAAGTAGCAACTCTCAGAAGAAGAAGAAGAAATCATGTACCAGATTGTGCAGCATCGAGAAGCTCTTCAAGCTCAAAAATTCTGTTAACACCACCAGAGAGCTCAACAAACTTCTTGTGCAACTCAAGAATGTCTCCAAAGGCAAAAAAACTCTGAGAGACCACAGATGCCAAATACCGAAGTGCATGTGCCAACTCACCTGGAAAGTAATTCAACAATTATTAAAAAAGTAATTCACCAGAAGATAGTTTCTTCTCTGCTACACATGAGAATAATCTTACCCTGAGTGGAGATCATTGCACGGTCTCCTTTGTGTTCCACAGCATATAACAGGCTCAAACCCCAAGTCACGTTGTGTGGCAGCTGCTTGGTTACAAAATCATCCAGTATGCCATACAACCATTTCTTTTTCAAAAGAAATGTTGAATGCCGCAGAAGCTCTTTGAACCTAGACTCAATCATCTGGCCAACATATGAAGTACAAGAATTGAAGCACCGCAAGGCGTTGAAGACATGACAGACACTATGGAAAAACTCTACTGTACACCAAAAATCGCTTAAATTTAGACAGAACAGAAAATAGAACTCCAGAATCAAGTTAGATACACTATCTTGCTAGCTGATGAATACAGAGGCATACTGTAACAATACCAATGCAACTGTTCTTAGATGAAAAAGTTTATATAAAAAACTTAGAAATACAGTTTCTTTTATTTAAGAGTACCAATGTAATTTACAGTCTTCTAGATAAAGGTACATTCAGAAATCAACTGTCAAATCAGTTGAAACATAAAAGCAAAGTCAAATGCTGTTTAACCACTTACACGATACGATGATAAAGTTGAGATCCTTATAAAAAATCATTACCTGTTTGTATCTGTTTTAGATTTATTAACGGTTAACTTCCAATCACTGTACTATGAGCTTTAGGCAGTTGGAGAAATAGATAAGTTCCTCGTTGATATGATCTTGTATAGGTATCAGTTAGGCAGTGTACTTCATAATTTAAAATCCAGCCATTAAAGTTTCAATTCAGTCTACCTTTTTTGGAAGTAAGATTCTTGGCTCAGACATCTTTTACTAGCTGGAATATCAAGCATTGAGCCTAGGGCTAGTAGCGCCAAAGACATAGTAGCTAAGATGGGAGATAACACAGTGAATCTCCTTTGTAGAACTACTACAACCTAGGATGTCCTATGTGCTAGAATTGAGGATCATTTATCTATAAGCGCCACCCAGAGTTTAAAGTAAGAGATGATGGTGGAGCATAAGTGGGTAAAGGATAGTGGAAACCGAGTTACTACAATCAAAGCTCTAAAGAATCATAGAAGAGCAAACCAAAACAAAGTATTATATACTAGGGAAAACGAGAAATCTGGTATTGACACCCTGCAATTCATCCCTTCGGATTGAATAAGCCTACTAGGTTGAGGTGCAGAAAACCTCATCTAAGGAGAACCGAACATAAAGCAGTCACCAAAGCGAAGTTGGCAAACCTGAGACATCAAGATAATTGCTGAAATGATACTCTAAAGTGTCGTGGTTCAAGTGACTTACAGCTTTTTCTCGAGCACCACCTCCAAAGAAGGCAACAGACTCAGCATGTGTTCTCAACCTTTCATGCATGAACCTAAATTTGTTTACAAATAGGGTGAAAACTTGACAATTGAACGGAAACACCATTAATGTAAGACTTTGCTGCTTGTCTTGAACAAGGGAAACAGAAGTTGCAGTGAAGTGAAATGAAATGCAGAAGAACATTACCTGAAGGTTCCCTCAAGTTGCTGCTCCTGGCTAGCTAGATCACCAAAATCAGGAGTAACAGTCCGTAGAAAACCAAGACCAAGTAGCATATAAGCATATAAAATGGTAACACCCCTCCGACCTGTTAAGAGCTTCATTCTCCATGTGAACCTAAGATTGAGCAACAAAATTATACTCAGGAGGACAAAACATAATTGACTAGACAGTTGGTCACAAGAACGACAGAACATAACCTCGTATTGACAAGTTCACATCCAGAAAACAGAAAATTAGCAGCAATGCACTTACCATAAGATATCAACAGATGGCTTTACCATTCCAGTTACCAATCCAGATAAATCTGTAGTCAACTTCTCTAGATCATGAGTTATCCTCTGATCAGCATCAACATTTTTGCTTGACAAGTTAAATACCTGTGAGCAGAAGTTTTCTACATCACTATCATGTTAAGATAAACAAACGAGTGGTGAAAGTGAAGCAATTGTCCAGGGCAGTACAGCCAACAGCCAAAGAAGCGGTTAGAGAAATGGAAAAAGATTGGCACTAATTATACTAAAGAAAAGCATGTATTGGAATTCACATAACCAGCAATTATCTCCCCCCCCCCCCCCCCCCCCCCCCCCCCACACTACAAAAAAAAAATGGATCCTTCACAATTTCAACTTCTATCAAGTAGTTTATGTACCCTTTTCTAGAATTGGCAAACATGTTTGAATTTCTCATAACGATAACACCCTATCAGAAAATTCAAACAACCAGTAATAAGAACTGTATTGATCGTTCAACCAATTACCTTATAAAATGCATTGTTTCTCAAGTAGTTCTTTAGCAAATGTCGAGTCAAGCGTATCCTCCACTCAAGAGCAAGTCTTGCAGTCAAATGCCTACGATGAAAAGTTATGTCATAAAAGCCGTACCAGGGCAAATGGGAATACTGCATCACTTTCTTAGTACGTTATAAGTTAAAACGTTTATGCAGGATAACTAAGAGGAGAGGATTAATAGAAAGTGTGATAGCATTCAGATCTCATTTGTTTCAAGCAATAGAAGTTGCCTTTAGGAGTTAGTAGGACTGGGAGAATATGTTTAATCTAGACAGACCCAAAGTAGAAGAAAGTGCCTGGAAGGAGAAGTAAAGTATATTTTCTGTCTGTTTATGAAAATATGTGAATGATATGGATGACCAAAATGGTCACTCAACTTTTACACTTTTTTTGGAAAGATAAAGGTCATTCCATGTCAGCTTAAAGTTGGATAAAGACGGTAGAAGTTAGAAGTCAGAAAGATGTGTATTTTGTTAGGGAAGTACATTATTGGGTATTCTACAAGTGTTACTAAAGGCTATATGTTGAAATGAATATAGCATTAATGAAGGTAAATTCTTTCGCACAGAGCAGAAGGTTTATTTCTATAATAATTACCTCAATGACGGAGCAATAAAAGATGATGCAGCACTCTGGAGAACACTGACACCTACTAAACGAACGAACGCTGCTTTATCTTGTTCCAGAACATACTTGACAGTTGTTCCTGCGATAGCACTCAGTAATAAGGATGGAATGCACAGGTGTTTGACAACAACAACAACAACAACAACAACAACAACAACAAAAAAGAGTGAAGGCACAGAACTATAACATGAAGATATTTCTTAAGGGAGATGCCAGTACCATTTAGTGAGGCAATCCTGTCTGAGACGAAAGTTCTAGACATAACCAGTAAAGCAACCGCAAGTAACTGCGCCCCTTGTTTGTCAAGCACTGTCGGCACCTGAAACATAAGTTATAAAGTGACTACAAAGAAAGATATCTACATAATTAATCCAAATTTTGAGCCATTGAGCAGACCATCAACCCCACAAGAAGAAAATCATGGATTGATTGCCTGACAGAACAGTGCACACTATATGAAATATGGACATAGTACAAGGAGAGCTCAATATAAGGCCACACAAGGAAGCTAGACATGAATATCGAAAGTAAATCTAACAAAAACAACAATACAGTGGTTTCAATAAAGCCAAATCAAAGTGGAAGGAACATCGAAGCAAAGGACTCACCAGTATTTTAAACATAGCAGCCACTCGCAATGGCAATGCCCGTGGATTTCTCTTTAATTGTAAAACAGAAGGCACTGGAACATTATGATCGAACTGTGGTGATCGTGCTATCACCTCAGAAATATAAGACTGTGCCTTCGAACTTGGAAATGTAGAGTCCTACATATAATAACCATGAGCATTTGGGTGCGAAACTGAAAAGGGAAAATATCCAGGAACAAATACTACTTTGCTGAAGAGAATATGGAATAAACAAGACCTCATCAGTTGCAGCAAATGCACGTTGGACAACCAGTGCATCACTTTTACGATCTGTCTCAGAGTTCTTCACGGCATTAGTTCCAGTTTGAGTCAGAGCTCGGGAATCCTTCCTGAAAATTTACAAGCCTGCTTAAGGAAATTACTGAATATTCAAGAAAGAAAGCAAATTACACTGCAATATCTAACCTTTTTTTGTCAACTCCCCACCCCCCTTCACCATCCAACGACAAAACAACATCGTGAAATGCAACTAAAGCTGGGCGATGTGATATGGTTATACATGATGTCCCCATAGCTCGAACTTTGGCACAAAAACGCTCCTCCATATCAGTTGTCACAGCACTAGTACACTCGTCAAGAATTGCAAATTTAGGCTTGTGGTAAAACAACCTTGCCATCCCCAACCTTTGTTGCTCTCCAAGGGAGAGTTCTTCTCCCCAATTAACTTCTTTCTCAGGGGGGTAGCGATCCAATAGATACTCAAGGTCAACCTGGAGATAGGCCAAAAACATTTTTCAAGTGACCATGCATTTCTGAACATATTAACACAGGTAGAGAAATATGAGCGATGGAGAAAGGTATACTACATTTTTCAACAACTCCACCATCCCACTGCGCGTAAGTGCTTCAACCTCTTGATCAGAGGTTAGAGGATAAATTAACTGATCTCGAAGTGTGCCTACAGCAGTATAAGGCCTCTGAGGAACATAGAAAATCTCCTTATTAAGCTCAGAACCAACACCTGGTTTGACAATATGGCCAGACACCAATGGCCAAAGGCCTCCAAGAACTCGGAAGAGTGAGCTCTTCCCACTGCCATTTGGACCTTCAACAGAAAAAATAAATAGGATTTATCTGGTGGCATAATGACAATACCGAATCCAAAAATGATTACATATAAGCCAATTTATTGACATCAGAAGTAAATAGACCACAGATACTGCACTTGATCTTAGCCAAAAGGCCGAGAAAGGTATCAGAATAAAATAGACCAGAAAAGGAACACAAAGTAGCTTTACAAGAAGAAATTAATAATGATAGAGCTGATAAAGACAGTTGATGTGAGGTGCAAAACACAATTATCGTTAATCTTTAACTAGATTAAAACTGTATTATTTGACCAATCAGGAAGAGGGAATTCTGCTTCAAGATATTTTTGAATTTTCTTGCTTGTATTTAATAAGTATTCTTATAAGTCATTATTACTTCTACTTCTATCAGTAGGATTAGCATCCTCTTCTCTATAAATAGTTATACGTGCTGTGCCAGTGCTATGAAGTTCAAGTGTTTTCTAATCTAGAATAGTAACATCTCCACATCTTCGTTGATATTAGTTACATTTTAACCCACTTTTCACTGCATCTACAAACCATAAATGCTGAAAAGATGAGATGAGTAAATAAGCTTCAAGAAAAACCAGATACTATTTCCAGAAAAGAAGAAAGTGAACAGAATTTTTAACAGAAAACACTTGACGGGTTCGTGCAATCTTATTTTTTAACAACAGTGTATGATGAAAGCATTAGTATGGTCCACAAGACTTGATAAAACATGTTACAGCAAAATTCTGGGAGATACCTGTAATTAACAGGTTAGATCCAGGTTCAACTTTAAGACTCAGATCTTGCACCAGAACGTTACCAGTTGGTGTAACAACCTGCAAGGAAGAATTCAATAAGAACTTTGAAGACTGAACTACTGAAGATCCCATTGCAGTTCAACTTGGTGGGTAAAAATACCTTGACGCCAGAAAACTCAACATAATCCGCATCACTGAAGTAGTTCCTACTTCCAACTCTTTGCAAGGACTTATCACCACTGCTTAGCTCTCTTGATATGGCAATCAGTTCATGAATCCGTTCAGCATAACCACTGCGATATAACAGAAATAACTTTGCACATAAATCTGGTCACAAATAACAGGCATACTAGCTATAATCTAAAGTCATGAGAAAACCATCAATAGTCATGCACCACAAAAAAGTCACTGAGAAGTACCTTAGACGACTAAGCTTTCTAGAACTTATGGAAAGAGTACCAAGTGACTGAAACAAAGATATTATAACACTTGTGTGGTATCTTAAATTGCTCAACATTGTTGCCCTTCCCAAAGTTGAAGTGTCTGGTTTGAGACCGCCCGCAAAGAAAGGCTCAATGATCAAAATAACAGCAACAGTAGCACCAAGATACTTGGCCAGGAAATCCTGGATCATGCCAAACCACCAATGCTCGTGATGGACAACTTTCATGTGCTTAACAAGAGTTCTGAACTTTTCCTGTATATGAAATTCTTCTCTTCGTTCACCACCATAAAATGCTATACTTTCAGCATGAGTCCGCAAACGTGAATGAAGCTGTCGATATTCACCTCCTAGCTGCTGTTCTTTAGCCATCAGTTTCCCAAAAGAAGGAGAAAACTTTTTAATAAGGGCACCTGCTCCCAATACATAGCCCTGCAAAACCAGCGTCACAGGCAAACCTTGCAGCGTTTCAGCATATGAAACAATCAGACTAATGTGAAAGGAATTTTTTTAAGATCACTGTCCAGCTATAACAATTACCAGTATGTAAACCAAATATTTTGGGCTAGCATAAGAAACAAGCCGCCAAGTGTAGAGAACCACATCTGTTACGGCTGTCAGATCATCTTGCACCAGCTCGCTAAGCTCTGAGCAAAACTTTGGGACGTCACTTGCTATTCTTTGCTCGGGATTGGTGATCCGACCATCAACATGTGATAGCTTGTAGTACGCCATATTCTGAAAAATAAGGAGTAAGATCTAAAGAATAAGACGATACAATAAGAGAGAAAAAAGGAGAGGCCAGAAACTGGATTCTCCATAGGAGCTCTTTGTGATGTCATTATTATTTCAAAAGGGAAACATGTGCAATAGAAGACACCACTGCTACCAAATACCAATTACAAGAAGAGATACAGATCCTGACTTTTCTGTTAGCCTTTACTCAATTGAAAATGTAATCCTGCTGTTACAAGAACAGTATTCCTGAAATAGCTGCACCAATGAACACAATACTCTTAAACTCAAAAGACTAACCAGCAGGAATGCTTACCTACACACTCATCTTAAAAGCTAACCAAAAAAACCTGCTCAACAACTTCCATCATCTTAGGTAGCTGGAAAGACGGACCAATTGGAGACTGTTATCTAAGATAAGCTGGGATGGAAAAATTACAGCCATTTGAGGAAGCTAACAAGCACTCCATTCTGAATTCAACATCTTAAAGAGTACAAAGAAACTCCAAACATTAGCTACCAGCCTACCACTACCAAGAAGAGTTCACAGTTGCCAGCTTTCCTAGATCAACTGAAGGAAAATTTAAAAAAAAAAACAATTTTTAATTTATACCCTGTTTAAGGGACACCTCTCGACCTCCTTTCTTACATGGAACTCGTTACCTTAATTCTTATTGATGGTTGCCAAGCACAGTAACAACATGTGTCTATACATTGTGTAGTATCATCATAGTAACAAGATTATCAATCCTAGATCAAAGCCAGATGCAGCAGAATGCCTTCAACAAAACCTGAAGTACCAGGACGTAACAATGCTAGTTCTCTGTTGGATATAATAAACCCCAGAAAAGGATGAAAGACATACATTCGGAACCCGTCACAGAGTAAACAGAAAATCAAATGTCTTATATGGAGTCAGTAACTCCCAATCCTAGAAGTAATTGCCTTATTGCATCAAATTAAATACACGCCAGAAAACAGGCACGAATAGACCAGAAAAACAGAAAAATCATAAAGTGAAGTAAAGCAATTATGTGAAAATATTTAATGAAAATTACTCGAATAAGAAACTTGTTATTTTACCAAGCAAAAGCTGGACATACCTCAAAATAATGTGTATGGATAAGTTTTGTCAGTATCTTTCTAAAACACAAGCTTAATGTCCCGGTAACATACTTTGAAGTCGAATGCATGGTTGATAGTAGGAAGCAGAGTAAGATATTTTCTGATATTAGTCGGAGAAACAATGGCACACGGCGGAGGAAAGCTGCACGAAACAGAAATCCTTGTACTTTCGCAAGTCTGTTGCTCAAACTAGTCCTTAACACCTGAGAAGAACCCACATACTCGATAGTCAAAATGGACATGCTCAAATCTAATGGTGAGCAACCTCAATTGTAACGAATATGTGCTGCTTCACAAAAATGACTAAACTTGAGATCATAACACACCGTGGAATGTTGAGCAAAATGGAAGTTCCAGGAAACCCAAGTGAGGTTATGCAAATATGGATCCACAATTTCAAGAAATAAAATGCAGGAATAGCACATGTCATAATGATAAACTATTGTGCTTAAAGAGAATATATGGAACTGCAATCAAGGATAGAAGAGGAAAGAAAAAGGAAAAGAAAGTTCTTCGTCAACTACTTTAAGAAACTATGTGGCTGCCCAAAACAAATAAGTCTTCACACCTAACATGTTTATACAAGATAAACAAAACCAGAACAACTTAGAAATACGGAAACCTTCGAAAGAAACACAAACAGAAACAAACAAAGCAAACATGCACAGAAAGGACTTACTGCAATGGCTATCATAGCCAAGAGGTCTGCTGTTCCCACTTTCCCCATCTCAGACAGAAGGACAGCAGCTAGAACTTTAAGTGATTTAAAACCTCCTTGCTTCGTGGTCGTCTTTGCATTATTGACTTTTGTAAGCAGCTTATCTGAATTTTCTTTAACATCGTTGAGCCCATTGTAATTACCAAATGAATCGGACTTTTTAACCCTCGAACGAGACTGCAAATATGCAGTAGTTCCACCAGCAACCAAGATACCAGCAGCAAACAACAGAGATTTCCTGTATGGACGAGAATGAGACCGAAAGGAAAGGATCAAATTTGATGAATTTGCAAGCATTAGAAGCTCAAGGAACATGAGCAAAAAATAAATAACTAGTGGCAAGATTCATCTAAACCCTAAAAGTGAAAGGGGAGGGTGTTGTCTCCAGAGAGGCAACTTTGCTGTCATTTCTCCTTGCTCGCCTATAACAGGAAACATCTTCCAACCCATAATTTCTTGTGTCAGGGGTCCTTGATTGGTCAAACACACGAGTGTGTTTGTTTTAGCTTTTGAATCTACAAGCACCCCCAAAAGCCAAGAACTGAGCCTTCATATTAACACTCTCTGGGAAGCATTTTACAACCAAACACATCTAAAACATCTCAAACCTAGCATAAGTATGTTACGAACAAAACCTGCAAAATCTAGTGAACTTCAACTCATTCCGGTTACACATGATCCCAAATTATTTCCCTATCTCAAGGAGCACTGTATCAATAGGGAAGATGAATTCTTTTAATTCTGAACATCACCAAAAAAAAAAAAAAAAATCAACGACAATTCCAAAAGCCTAATCCAAGTAGCATATGCTAACTTGAAATGCAGTTGAACTAAAGTTAAAGCAACCAAAATTGAACCCCTTAATCAAAGTTCAAACCGAGAAAATGAATTCAATTGCAGGGGCCATGCCAATCTACTTCCCTAAAACATGCCAAGCTTATCCAAAGGGGCCAAAAGGAGAAAATGAGGGGTCGTTTGGATTGATCAATTGAAAAATGAGACAATATGGCCAATTGCCTCATTTTACAAAATGAGTCACTTAAAACGAGTCAATATGAATTGTCTGGCCCCGCTCCAGACAATTGTAATTGCCTCAAAACGAGTCAATTTGTAATTCCCCGTGCAGAATTGCTTCATCTAAATTTTGTGCTGCCAAATGGATCGACTTGGCCAGATTGTCTCAAAACAAAACAATTGGGTCAAATTGATCCGTTAGAATTCCTCATCAAACGACCACTGAGTTAATTTGCTTCTACATTGAGTCCTTTAAGTTCCCTCTTCAATCAGTACCTTGTAATGGATGATAAGATGAAGACAGCAAATATGAATGCCAATATACTTCCCACACGAAGCAAGCACATGACAATTTGGCAAGAATCATAAGTGCCAGACATATTCCAGCTTTCCCGGGGAGGCAGGCAGAGAGAACTAAATAAAAGCAGCAGAGTAAAATACCTTCTGGAAGCCAGAAGGTCTCGGCCATGCTCCGTAAATTTTAATAGCTGGAGAGAAGGCATGGCTGAAAATATGTTTTCCTGTCCAACAGTTACCACCAACTGCAGTACCTTTCTCCCAATATAAATTTATCAAAGATCCTGGAGAGATAATCAGATGAACCAATACCAATCAGGATGAAATCAGTTTCATACTTGTAAATTTAGAGACGAGGGATGGGCATGGTAGAAAAAATAAACATAGCATTTTCCAATATTGCCAATAACATCTTATTTAACTGATAGAATCCCATAGCATTCCTGCTGAACCATCTACACCACTATTTTCACTTTCAAAGCATGACATTAACAAAGATTGATCAGAGGGCAACCATTTTATACAACATGATAGGGTAAGGTAATCAGAAACACAAGTTGAAGGTCATATCGAAAAATAAGCGCTGCAACATCTCCAGTCAGAGTCCCCCAGTAAATATATACCACTCATGCAACCAGCGAAAAAACTGAACGAGCAAGCATAAATGAAATTGCAGAAAAGTTAACCTCACAAATGAACAGCGTCATGAAAGACACAATATTGCCATACAATCAGCTATTGACATAAAGCCAAATATAGAGCCTCAAACTACCTCTGAGAAAGTACCTCGTACCAAGTACTAACCGTGCTCCATTATATTCAGCAATCTGCTACCGCACATACGTTCAAAAGCTCCAATTCCCAATAAAGAAACTTCCGATGCGTGAGAAAAATAAACCTTGCAGATGATGCTTGATATGAAACCGACTGCCTACAGTATTGCAAAAGAATCCCTCATCAACCAGAATGTAAGTGAATAGGTTTCGTCCGAAAACATACTAATTCAGGACGTGCTAGAAAGTAGCCAAAAGAAGCATATAAACCTGCCTCCCAACATTCAGAAGGTAAAAATCACAGGTTCCTCACTTCCTCTAAATTCTCCCACCTCTCAAGCAAGTATCACTCAGCAACCTATTCTGATCCCACACACCCTCAACACTAGGAACCCCATGAACACTATCAACCAAGATACCAGATTGCTCCTTATACAAACTAAAGCTGCATTTATTCCCAAAAAAGACACCAACTCTGACATCTACCTACTTCACCTCCCAAGTTCAACATACGCAATAACAGCAAGATCAGGCTCAATTTTCCGATAAAGAAAGGGTAGCAAAATGAAAAAAACGCCCAATGAACCAATCCACTAGTAAAGTCTCAGTGTCTCTGTCCATAATTCTCACATCGGCTAACTGCAAAATTGATCCTGGAATCATAAACCACAATTTATGACACCATGCAAGAAGCTGGAATAACACCTCCGGAGCAGCAACCACCGACGTACCTGAAAGTTATCAGAGCAAGCTCTCATCCATCAGGGATAATAAAAAAGCAGCAAGAGTAGGTGTTCGTCCTCTCTTCAGCGATTCACTCAGAAGAAGACGACGACGAGAAGGGAAGGGAAGGGACTGGATATTGATAGCGAGGAGGATGAATCAAAGAAAGCAGACAGAAGATCGAATCGAAAAAAACCCTAGACAAGGAGGATGGATTTTTCTTCCATTTCCTGTATTTTCTTTCGCTAAAATAAGATTTTGCAGGAGAGAACAAAAGAGAGACCGAATTGAGCTCCAAAACACAGAGAGGAACACGAAGTGGATTCCCTTTTTTTTTCTGTTTTTAAAATATTTTGTTAATATAATATAGAAGAGAGAGGAGCTGGTTGGGGTGAACAAGGAAGTGATGAGAGAAGGGAAGAGGAGCAAAGCAAAGAGGAGACGGGCGATGGAAAAATAATAATACGAAATGATTAGGAAATAGGAAAAGCCATATCGTATCCCGGAAATGAATTATTTGTTTTTTCAGGTATGAATTTATTACATTTCCAACCAATTATTTGTTTCTTCTTTGTTCGCCTTACCTACCTATTCAGTAATGACAGTAAATACTTTTTTTTTTTTTTTTTGAAACTCGACAGTAAATACTATTGAGTAATGGGGGCAGATGTCTTTCTCTTTGTATCTTATTCATAGGTGTGTTCCCATATAAAAATTACCTTTTGGCAAGTAGCAAGTGAGACCCTGGAATCTAAATGAATCTGATCTAATGTGATTTTCTTTTACTAGGGGAATCTGATGTGATTAGATGGGGTAAAAACTAAAAACACAATATGAAAATGAGATTAAGAGGGTATTGTAGAAAATTAAAAAAAATGTAGGTACTTTATTAGTTATAAAGTTAGTTGTTATGATTGTGCTAGAAAATTGCCAGATAATGTAAATAAAAGAATTTTACAAATTATTTTTACGGTGCTTTCTATAAATTGAATTTATACTTTAATGTTATAGTATAAATCTACCCGATACTTATACTTTTTTGGACAAAAAAAGATCTTATAGAATAAATTGAATTTGTACCCATGACATTATGGTACAAATTCAACTTGTATCTATATTTTTCGTGCTAAAACATTTATGGTACAAACGAACTTGTATCTTTAACGTTATGAAACAAATTCAACGAGTATTGGTAAGTGTCAATGCTTCATAACATAGTAGACGAGCTCGTTGTAAATATAGCATTTGCTAGAATAGGTATTTGTCTTGGATTAATTCTCTATTGAACGAATTTTACAGAGAAAGCTAGCTCCCAAGTCACCTTTGTTTGATTGGTATATAGTTAAAGATTAGGGAAGACAAGAGAGAAGAGTGGGGAAATAACTAGCTAATACACAATTGACTAACTAACTAATTACCTAATGGTATCTTAGCTTATATAATTGTGACAATACATTTTTATCTATATACAATTTAGTCCAAAAAACTTTTATAGTGTGTAAATTGGTCTTATATTCATCCTCGAGCTAAATGTGAATGGTCTTCATGTTAAGTTTGGAAACCAATTCAACGAAGGTGTGAACAGATAAAGCATTGGTGAAGGGATCTTCAAGTTGCAAGGTAGTGGATATGTGACGTACCTCAATGTGTTTGGTCCTTTCATGTGTGAATAGGATTCTCTGCCATCTCTATTGCAAAGAAACTTCCACAGTAATCATGTAGGGTTGTTGAGGTTCCACGAACAGTTGTTTAAACATAGCTATCATTCAATGAAGCTCATGTGATGTATCTACCAAAGCCATGTATTTTGTTTCTGCTGAGTATCTAGAAACTATATGTTGCTTGTAGACCTTCCGCTAATTAGTGAATTAACTAAAAACACGAGAACTTGTTATTGACCATCTTGTGCTAGGACAACCAGCCTAGAGTCTAAGAAAGCAGTGAGTCTGTTGTCAGAATTAGCAGGGAAGAACGATCCTGACAGGAGTTGTCTTGATTTATCTTATGATTTTGTGTGTTGCTTGCTCATGAGTAATAGTTGGCGCATCAACAGACTTATTGAGTTGTTTGATAGAGTAACATATATCAAATCAAGTGTTGCACAAGTATTAGAAAAGACCAAGTAAAGTTCTATAGGTATTGTGTCTCGCATATCTAGAGGTGTCTCTTTTTTGTTGGAGAGGTGAGTTTTTGGGATTGAAGGTGTTGTTGTTAGCTGAGATGCCAAGAGAAAGGAGATCAAGAGCATATTTTCTCAAAACAAATGAAAACCAAAATATGAACTGGTAACTCCCATTACAAGAAAAATTTTCATCCAATCAAGGTCCTTTATGATAAAGGAAATGTCAAGTTGATGTTTGACATGTCTAAAATAAGTCACTCATTAAAGTTCGAGTGGGAAGAGTTGAGCTGTGATTGCCCCATGACCCACTCAAACCTCAAACCAGCATAATTCTTATTCATATCTATTAAACCAAAAACAACCCCTCAAAATTAGAAGAAGAAAATTCTCAATTTCGATCAAAAGATCTCCAAATGTCTCTACTTTCTTTCCTTCCCAACTTTGAAAGAATATCTTCTCAAAATTTTATTTTTTTAGAATTCTCAAGATTGTTATTGAGGATAATTACAAAGTCCAATTTGTTTCAATGTGGCTGGAACTATATACACACTGCCTTATACGATTTCTCCATCTCCATTTTAGGTCTAGTAACCCTAATTATCTACTTTTTTCAAAGGAATCGTTTATGAAGATTAGAGAGAAGCAGGTAATCGTTTATTAGGTTGAATATTTTTGGTGATTTGTCAACAATTAAGAGTATTAGTTTTGTGAACCGAACGATGCATCCTATATATTGATTAAAAGTTGTTTAGCATGACAATCTCTTTCATTTTAAGTTAAAACAATTTGAATCATGTGGTATTTTGGAATGTATGTTGTAAATCCACCGAAACCTACCTGACCACCCATCATCACCCAACCTACCCACGGTTACATGCTTGTATTGATGGGTGTATTTTTCTCCTTTATCCATCACACAGTGATGTGGATCAAAATCCACCCAAATCCTCTTAAAATCACATAGTGCTCACCCCTAATCTAGGTAATCTACTTAATGTGTTTGATTGTCGCCTTAGGCTACAAACTTGACCTTGTATTTTTCAATACTGCCAACAAGGTTGTGTTTAACCAATAAAAACAATTTGTTTCCAATTACTGGCTTGTATGTAGAAGGGTCACCAGAATCTCCGTCTTGGTTTTACGGAGAGAAGTCGTTTCAAATTGTACAATTTTCATCCAATTATACGATAGTAATGGATGAAGCAAACTTTTTGTGTGCATGATTGAGAGAAATGTAAGCGAGAACGCTTCATATTGGGTAGGTAGTGTTTTGCTCAAGTTTAACATGACCACTAGCCACTAGGTGAACATGTACGGAGGTGGTTCTATTTGGCCTTCTAAAAGGTTGTGCCAATGTAGAAGTAGGGTTTAATGAAACATGGTTCTAGAAGAAGTTTTGAAGGAAAATGTTAAGTGTCCACAGACCTTGTAAGAGGATGAGTATCCATAAGAGAAGCATTAGTGCTACACTGCTACTATGAGGGATAACAACTATGTCTGGTTGGAAAACTAAAGGATTAGAGAATACTTTCAGGGGTCGTTTGGATTAGTGTTTTTAATTTGAGTGATTTGAGAGGAATTTGGGATCAAATCACTTGTTTTAAAACCCAGGTTTTTAATTCGAGAAATTTATGTGGGATTTTCGCCAAATCGCTCGTTTGGCAACAAGTGTGGAATTTTAAAATTGAAATAGACAATCTCATTTTTACCCTTTAAATATCCTTATATGTACAAGGAATAGAACAACGCATGACTTCCTTCTTCCTCTGCACTGCTAAGCTCTTCTTCTTCACCATCCCTCCACTCACTCTCCCACGCACCAACAAATGAGTCTTTTGTCATTCAAGGAAACCCACCATGACTATCTATGACTTGTATTCCTTGTTGAAGTTCTTGCTTTTAGCAGCAGCAAAAGCATCATGTGTAGTTAAGGAAATTGGGAGAAATAAGTTGGGAACTAATTCATGTAGCTCATAGATGAAAAAGGCAATCTGTTGGAAGAAGTAGAATAATATATGTCTGCAACATGTTCAAATTCATTACCAACTATCCAAAAAAAGCTCAATGCAATCCCCAAAAAAAGGCTCCAGGTACGAGCTGGGATTACAATGAACTGTCACTACTAATCAGTATGCAATCATGTTCAGTCATATTGGTAGTATACTCCCCAAAAAAAGCTTGTATACAAGCTGAGTTTACTTAATCCCGCCACGGCTCTCAACCTATCAGCCCTCTCACAAACATATACTTGTCTGTTATGTCTTCTAACCGGTAGAACGCCATCAAGTCTCGATCGTTGTTGGACAACAGCCTCATTGCTGTAAGGATCTCAACTCTGGTAAGCCCACTAAGTTGCTCCAAGCTCTCCATAAGATTATCTCGCTTAGTAATTAGTATTAAGTTCATCACTTTCCCCGAGTGCCCTAGCAATTGTATCCACCGACTGCTTAATGATTGGGCGAAGATCTCTCATTTCTCCGACCTAATCTGTGAGGCGTTCTTCAACAGTCAAGCCTTTCTTCTTCTTCTTCTTCTTCTTCAGTGGAACACCATCAGTTGAAGTTGTCACACTTGCAGGCTTTTTTTTACCAGTTAACTCTACTTTGATTTCCTCGATAAGCTCTGCATTCACCTCGTTAAAGTCGGGATTTGGAATGTCATACTCTTCTGTTGATGTTCCATCCAAACAGATAGGATCATTGGTGTCAACCCCATGATCCCCAGTTGCACGCCCTTTGCAGAATACTGGTGTCAGGTCTCATAAACCAAAAATGGTTTCTTGTTCAGACCACCACAGTTTGGATGCTTCTGCAGTAAGACAGACATTAAAAAAAACTGTCAATAACAAATAAGATGGACATAAAGCAAACACCAATAATGTAGGCTTACTAGCTCAAATGCATCCCATTGATCATCCGGACATATGCCACACTTATTAACCTCATCCCACCCCCATCCACTTTGATTTCTCATAAGTGTCATTGCATGCCATATCTTCTTCCATTTTTTGAACCTCCCCTCTATATGCGGCTTTATGAAATTGTGTAGAATACAACATGCTAACACAATTCGAGATGCAACGGGCACCGAGAACCAAGTTGCATCCCTAAGAATTGCCATCGCATTTTTAAATTTTCAAAAATCCTCTCTATTACATTCCTAGCTCGAGCATGTCTCCAATTGTAGTACTCTTCGGCAGTTTGTGGCAGCTGACCACTCCATTCATCGATATGGTATCTTGGCCCCCTAATAGGGGTTAAGAACCCATGGTTGTTGGCATACCCCGAATCACACAAGTAATTACATCCTATTTAAAAATATGGTAATAAGAATTCCCTAAGGCCAACGAACTTAACTGGAGAAATCAAATATTGTTTATTTGAAATATTATTACCTTCCGGCACAACTAAGTCATTCGACTTGTTTAGAGCATTTCTCAACACCCTCACATCATGAGCAGACCCTTCCCATCCCACTAGACAATATATAAACTCTAAGTTTGGGGTACATACATCCAAACAATTGATCATGAGATGACCAGACCTATCTCGATATTTAGTTTCTTCTTCCTTCAATGGTCGGACATCAATGTTGGATAAAATGAATTGGTGGATTCATGAATTTGGTAAAATGGATTGTTGATTTGATCCATGGATCCAAATGACATCCAAGTCTTGGACCATTATGCAAATTTTGAAAAGTTTAGGTACAATATAGGATTTTTTTCAAGAAATAGCACTGTTTAATTTTTTTTTTACAAAAATAGCACCCAACCCCGAGTATTCCTAACCTAGGTGGAAACTTCAAACGAACGTATCTTTGTGTGCGGGTATCCGATCGTAGCGAAATATTTTTTGATTCCTCATAATTTTTCGAGATCTTGCAAGCCACAAACCGCTACGGTCCCGCCTTCGTCCCAAAAAAATGTTGTTTGCTACCCCAAATAGGGATGGCAATGGGTCGGGTTGGGTCGGGTTTTGCCAAACCCAAACACAAACCCATGGGTTTATCCGTGAAAAAAAACCAGGTAAAACCCACTGGGTTTGAAAAACTCAAACCCAACCAAACCCGCTGGGTATCCGCGGGTTCATGGGTACCCACGGGTTTTTGTCGTAAAAAATTTACAATGTTCCTGTCAAAATTAAAGTCAAATATCAATCTCAGTACAAGTTATCCATATTTAAAACACCATTCTAGAAAATTCAAGCAAATCACAAATTAACTATACAAATTGTTCAACACCAATCTAGAAAACTCAAGAAAATTGAAGCAAATCACAAATTATCCATAAATAACATGATTAATTGAAAGTTTTTTCCTTTCAATTAAGTTTCTTCACTCTCCACTCGATAACATCTACTTCATTCTACACAATTAGAAAGAAAAAATTACACATGTCTCCACAAACATAAATAAGATTAGTTGTTTAGAATATAAAGTATACCGAGAAAATTAATTATATGGGTGTGGGCGGGAACCCATGGGTCGAGTTTACCTAAACCCAAACCCAACCCGGTGAATAGTGAACGGGTTTAAACCCAAACCCGGCCCAAAACCCGTCAACACGGATTTTACCCGCGTTGACCGGGTTGGGTTGGGTGGGTACCCGTGGGTTCGGGTTTTGTTGCCATCCCTAACCCCAAATGAGCTTTTTTCCGATTTCGTCAAACTTTTGACGACCATAACTTTGTGCTCCAAAATCCGAACGTCATGATTTTTTTTTCTTCATTTCGCATAACATTTTAAGGACTACAACTTTTATCATAGATATAATTTCGAAATGTACGTGAATTTGTGAAAAGGGACGGTAAGCTATTCCCAAAGCTCTGTACATGCAAAAATAATTCTTGTTTTGAAAATTCATTCCTAGTAAAAATTATAGTCCTCAAAAAGTTATGCGAAATGAAAAAAATTTCATGACGTTCGGATTTTGGAGCACAAACTTATGGTTGTTTAAAGTTATTGAGGATTTTTACCGTTCAATGAGTAAAACTTTGTCAATATATTATCGTTTCATGAGAAGAGTTGTACTTGAGTGGTGTAGATGTTGTGCTAAATTTAGTAAACAATTTATTATCTGGGTTAAAACCACCACTCCCACAACATGTTGCTTTTTTTAATCTCTACTAAATAAAAAGATTTCAAATTGGATGGTGGGGATTCAAACCCATGACTTCTTGCACACAATAAACAGTTAAATTAGTTGTGCCAAGACCACTTATAACATTTATTCGAATAAAATATATATATTATAAACCACCGGGTGGGGGTGCGGTTTGCAACCCAACCGCCCCGGCCCCATGCGGTCAGCGAAACTGCCCCCTACCCATGCGGTTTTCGTGAAACAGTGCTATTTTTGGAATTTTTTGGGGTTTGATGCTATTTTTGGAAAACAAATTAAACTGTGCTATTTTTGGAAAAATCTCTACAAAAATGTCATAATAAAAAATTTTAGGTACGAAAACGTAATTTTCAATGATAGCTGTCATCTAAAAATAAATTTTAGATGCTTATCCCCACAGCTCAATTGAAAAGCTTAGCCCTGGGGTTTCTGTTCATTGTGACTTGTTTCTCAACACCTCAGTAGGGCTAAGGAGTCTCATTAAGCCCATTAAATATATCAAGTTTTTTAGATCACATCCATTATACTAACTCTATCCTATCTTCTGCTTGGATTGACTCTACTCCTGTTGGTTTGGATGCTTTTAGTAGTTTACTTTCGAAGTTCCAGATGCTGAAGAAGGGGTTGAAGGAACTCAACAGAGAGCACTATTCAGATATCTCGGTACGTGCTAGGGAGGATGAATTGCTTATGGCTGAAGCGCAAATGGAGGTTCTTAATTTGCCTACTCCAGAGAACATTCAAAAAGAACTGTTATGGTTACGATTTGCTCTGAAGCTCAATCTACAGAGGAGAGTTTCTACATATAGAAGTCTCATATTCAGTGGATTTTTCAGAGGGGGATGGCAACACCTCTTTGTTCCACAATAATGCTAAGATTCGAAACAAGAGACAAACTATTGATCATCTACTTACTGATGAGGGTAAGGAAATTACGAATGCGAAGCAAATGTGAGAGTTGACAATTTCTTTTTACAAGAAGCTGCTAGGGGAGACTAATGGAAAAATCCAAAAGTACCATTGTTTAAAAAATTACAAAACTACCACCCAACCCAAAAAATTTACAAAAATGCCACCATCAATCGAAAACCGCACCCCTAATGGGCTGTTCTCCTTCAAACCGCGCGGGGAAGGAGCAGCTCCCGCTAGGGTAGCCTGAAAACCGCTCCTCCACGTGGTGGTCCATGTAACCGTTGGATGGAAACGCGATTCAACGGCCAACCACGCGCCAACGGAGCGATCCGCGTCTGGTCGCAGAAACCGTTGCCTGATGGCGCGGTTTATGCAGCGGTAAGGGAAACCGTGGGCGGGGAGCAGTTTCCTTGGGGGGAAAATTACCAAACCGCACCCCCCAGGCGGTTCAGACCCTATAAATACCCCCTTCTTTCATTTTATCACACCAAAACCAATCCTCTCTCTCTAAGTTTGTCAATCTACCTATCCCCCTCTCCCCCCCCCCCAAAAAAAACTTAGGAATAGTGGTCTGTTGGTTGCGGCTAAGTTCGAACTGCCATCAGAAAACTTTTCTTTGGTTTTCCTTCAAAACCTGTCGAATCCCTGTCCGGTTCCTGAAAAAAATGGCGGATTTTCCCCCGAATAAGAGGGTATTTATTATGATGACTATCAAGCGGTACGTGCTCAATGTCCGACTCTCTTGCTCTTGATGGCCCGGATCCTAGCCTTGCATCCTTCGTGATGATTTTGGCATCTAACCATGAGCCTCTTCTTGTCGGAATGGGTTGTGTGCCATTTGAAACTCAGAGACAGTGCTTCAGTGGCAATAGCGTGCCACACCTCATTCTTCGTTCCAAATTGTTGGCCCTTCGTAAACCCAGTTAGCGGACCCCATACTGGCACCTCTAGAGGCTCCATGTCCGCATCAACATACCAATCTTCATTTGGAATGTGATTGTAGTACGGGATAGGTACATGGTCACGAGACACATCGGCACCATCTGCGTCTCAATCTAGGTCAGAATCATCAGCACCTTCAAGATGATCGGTACTTTCTGCATTGACATTCCATCATCATCTTCATCCTAAAGGTCACTATCTGGAATTGGAAGGGCATCTTCCATCTGATCCATATCATGAAATGCACTTTCATCAACTCTGTAATGGTAGTTGTGGTAATTACCACCGTCTTTAGGGCTGGAAGTTTGGTACCGGTATTTTGGATATACTGAATACTGACTCGCTCCTACCGTCACTCTAGAAAATGGCCAAGTGTAACCACCTCCTAAAGCGTAGTATAGCGGGTTTGGGTTTTAATGTCAACCCGGGTCCTAAGTGTGATGACTACTACTTGAGTTCTTATTATTTAGCAGTGAAACTTTAGTGAAGATCCAAACAAGCAAACGAGCAAAGCAGTAAAAAGGTTGTTTTCAAGTCGAGAGAGGTCACCTGGATATGGTTCCCCCTAGAATGCAGTTAAGTTGGATTGTAATTTACCAAGTTCAATTTCAATGATAGTTATACCGCGGGAGGTTCTTAAACAGTCTGCAGTCTCGACTAAAGGTCTCCAGACCCTCTCAATCTGAGTCCCCAGCGGGCGACTAACCTCCACCGGAGTAAACAAATTGAGGCCCTAACGAACCAAACCTCCACTACCGAAGTAAATTCGGTACAAAATAGTGAATTGACTTCTCAACTAAAGTCGTCAATTCACTACCTTCAATCAAGGGTGCTCTATCAACCTAGGCAGATATTCTCTTTCTAGGTTAAAGCAGAACCAACAAGAATTTGATCAGGATTCATGCCATTCAACAAATCAAACCTCAATTGAATATAATCATATCACTGAATCTGTACTTGGGTTCATACAATCAGACCTAACACACAAATCTAGGGTTCTTCATACCGAGGTGAATAGGAAAGTTACTCCATAGAGAGTGTAACATCCCCTTCCGAAAAAACCCATATTTTCGATCGCTAGAAAGTTCGCGATTTAAAATTGAGCGTTTTGATAGTATTTCGACGAAAATCGGATTATCAATCGATCGGATAAGTATACGTATTAATTATATATATATATATAATTAGAAAAGTAAAAAGTAAAGTTAAGCGGCCGAACCGCTTTACTCTTTATATATATACAGCAAATGCCCCCCCTCCTGTCCATTTCCATCTCGTTCCTTTCTTTTTCCATTTCCTGAACGAAGAGAAGCAGAGCCGCGCAGAGCTCCTGTGGAAATTTTCACAGCTCAATTCTTGAATGTTAGCAATCCAAAAATCCCGTAAGTAATGCCTAATTCATCCATACATCGTGATTTATCAATTTAGAGCTTTAAAACGAGTTTTTGGATCAGGAATTTCTTGAATTCCCGATAAGCCAAATTAGGGTTTCGGAGTATCCGGAAGCCGGATTGAGCCCAAATTTCATATACGAGCTTCCTGTAGAGAGGTAATCAATCCTCTAGTTCTAATCCCTGAATTTCGGCTATTATTTAGATCGGAGCCGGGATCGTTGAATTTAGCTCTGGCCAGGGTTTGATGTATTTTTATCGAGAATTTGACCCGGAGCCCAGAACTAATATTGACGGGGATACTGCAGGGGATATTAGGACGGTCTCGGATTTTAATTCGGAGTTTGTTCGTGAAATTGACGTTTTAGTACGGGAAGGTTAAACCGGTGTTTGAACGACCAAAACTAGTGAGGGATTAGCACGGCATACCGGGTTTGTCGTATCACGATAATTATATTGATGCTTAGAATTGATCTAGGTGAATTAGAATGGCATGATTAGGGGTGTATGGACTTTTGTGCTATATGATGAACTATAGGCTTCTGTATGATATTATTGACTTGCCCTAATCGATATGAACCCTGTTTATGCTGATGATTGTGTATATATTGCAAATTGTGGGCTTGACTATTAATATGCTTTACGATGGTTCGAGAAGGTGATTAGGTATGATTTTTCATGATTGTTGTATTTGGATGCACAAGTGGGAAAATATATATTCCCTGGTGATATTATGATGTTTTAAGGAGGATGACTTGCACGAGGGTTTATCCCGAGGAAGTGCAACTATACGACTCCTGGTTTACCTATGTTGAGCCAATTATGGTCAGGTCAAGTACATGTGTAAGTAATGAATTATGATTAAGCAAGCTGAGATATGAATCATGTACAAGGATACCAAATATGAGTGTTGTGGTCTCACGGTCAACTACATAGTAATTAGGGCTCCCTATGCTATTACTCTATTATGATATGTATGATAGTCACACCTCTCATGTGGTGGTGACTGAAGAATTCTTACGAGATATGACCACACCCAGAGCGGTGTCGGGGTATGACTACACCCATAGTGGTGTGGGGTATGTATGACCACATCCGACGGGATGTTGGGGTATGTATGACTACATCCGACGGGATGTGGGGTATGTTTCCCGGGAGAGTTATTAGCATGGGAGTAGCCAGGCGCCTATGAGTAAAACATGATAAAATGCATATGCATAAGTCAAGGTGGTTGAGTCTTTTGCCTATTGGGATGTCGGAGGGCTGAGATCTTATCCTAGTGCTTTGGCTTGTTTGCTAGATGTATGGTAGTGGTATGCTATGTTATGAACTCACGATGCGATGATTATCTCACTCAGCTATGAGCTGATCCTCTTTTTATTCTTCTTCTTCTCTGCTTATGCTATGTGTAAGCAGATCATCAACACCAGCAGTAGATAGGTGTATAGGTGGGAGCTGAGCAAGAGTTGAAGGCAAGATGAGGTATGGTCTTCAACCATTCTGTGCTTGGACGACTACTTGGGATTTTGGCCAGTGATCCACACCTTTTTGTAAAAGAATGTTTTGAGAACGTTTTTCATGTGCATACTAGCTTCTGATGTAGTGTTAGATATCCACAGGTGTGGAAAGTTGATGATATGTGTATTATGTGGTTTTGTAAGTTATGACGATTATGGCTTGTATCAGTATGGTATGCAGGTGTGTAGTATGAAACTGTGACTATGGCTGTGAAAAGCCAATGCATATGGTTGTGAGTATATATGTTTGTGATGAATTATTTTGCAGGATAAGTTGCAAGACTGTTAGCCCATTACGCGAGTAATTCATGTCGAAATTTTATTTGGGTAAATTTTGATAATTAATGTAACACCCAAGTTTAATTCCGCTGCAATTGTATGAACAATATGATTAGGCAAAATGTATAGGGTAGGGTGTTACAGAGAGAGACGAGAAATCTAGCTCAGATGCGGAAACCATACTGTGAAGGATGAGAATATGCTTCTGGCACTCAATCAGCTCTTCTCCAAGCTCAAGCCGGGCTCCAATGGTGATGAAGATCGATCAAAGACACTTGCAGAATCAGGTTCATCACTTTCTCTCTCTAGGTATACGCTTTTTCTCTCTCAAACTCGCGACCCTTCACTTTTGCCCTTCTTTTCCCTTAAGAAGCTGTCTGTCGCGATCCCCTGCCTGAATACCCGGTCGAGTATTTTAGGTAGAGACCGGGTATTCTCAAAACGCACCGTCGGGGACAGGGGGTTCATCCCCGGTCAGGGTCAAGAATACCCGACCGGGGATTTATGATTAATGCCCGGGCCCCCTTCTGCTTCTCAAACGCCCAAAACAGGTTTTCCCCGGTCTTCTCCGATTAATACCCGGTAGGGTATTTCAGCCCATGGTCGGGTATTTTGCTCCTCCAGCACACTTCAACCCAAACGTGCTCCTTTCGACCCGTTTCTTCGCGTCGATGCCAACGCTAAGCCCTGAAATATGACATAAACGCACAACCTAGCGTGAAATCGGCTTAAAACACGAGAATCAACATCTCAAACGGCTCAAGAATAGGGGTAAACACATGTGCAATCAATGGTCTATCAAATACCGTATTGAATTTGTCTATATTTGGTATTACAGAATACACATATTATTTCTTGGGATTGGGATTCATTTCAATTGTTATTCGGTATTAGGGATTACGGCATTGGGATTGGTATATACCGAAATACCGAACAATACCGAAATATAACCTAGTGTGTATTTTATCCTCTCAACCATCGGTGGATCTAGGGCTGGGCCAACCCGGGCCACGCCCCAGCCCTTTCCAAATCCAGAGCTAGTATAGATTGTATAGTGCTTATAAATTTTTAGATTTTAGATATTTGGTCCATTGTTATTTAAAAGTCGGTCGAGTGTTATTTGATAATAGGATTTTGTGTAGTTAGGAAAATAATCTAGATGAACATATCCAATCAACTACACTCAATTTAGCCTACAATTATATTATTGATGGATTTGCCAAATTAAAAAGCCTTCTAGTATAATTGGCATTTGTAATGAATGAAAACTACAATTTATTAGCCGAACATTTCAGACTTTCCAAATCGTAAGCCAAAACTTTTGAAATACAAGATAGTAGCCAAATCTCTTACAACACATCAAATATTAGCCATTTGTCTATTATCGTTGGTATTTTTGTAACTATTCTCTTAATTGTAATACTAAAATTTTGGAATATTGACTACCACATGTCTCTTTCAAGTGAGTATCATGTTGCCAAGTCAATATTACTAACAAAACTGCTAACCAGTAAGTTAACATTTGACTAATACTTTGTATTTTGAAAGGTTTGGCTAATAATTCAAAAACTTAGAAAGGTTTAGCTAATAAATTTTATTTACCCAATATTTTTATTTATGATATCTAGTATTCTATTCAGAATGCGGCCTAGTGCTCTATTATATCCTAGATCCGCTGGTTGGTTTAATGTGTTCACAAGCTTCTTGGCTTCTAGTATACCTACTCTCATGGAAGAAGGGCGTAGGTCTCGCAATTCCCTCTGACCCGGAGGAATGATAAAGTCTGACGAACCTTATCTTGTATTGCTTCCGAGGTCTGCCTTCCTTGATTGAGCCCTCAAACTGGCACCGGTGGTTGCATATATAAGAAAAGGGTATATCTCATTTTCACTCAATCTTTTCTACGGACGGAAGTCAACGCAAAATAAGCGGCTTCATCCACATTGAGGGTCGGCTTGGTGAAAGGCGTGATGCTATCGTATATAAGGAATCGCCTAGCCAACGCTCTACTTACCAACTGCCCTTCATTCTATTAGGGAGCTGGACTACATATATATGTAAGACGATCGGACTACAGATTACGTGCTAAACGGATTAATGATACGATTATCATCAAATCAAAGGTGGAAGGAGATTCTCACTTCTTTTGCGAAAGACCATTCCCTTCAAGCACATAAGCTCGCTCTACTACTTCGAATACGAGAAAGAGAATATAAGACAAAGAGATTCTTTACGGATTGGAATGCTAACGATTGATTCCCTTTTGGGCTCTTACACAGAAATTAAATACTTCAAAGAGAAAGAGAGCAACTCCAGATTATTCGGCTGTTCCAGGAGCTGCAGAAAGGGATGCTTTAGCTGTTTTCTTTTGGTACTAAAAAGGTGGGGGACAGGAAATAAGAATGATATGACTAAAAACTCATTACCAAATTAGAAGGCCCTAAATAAATACGCGAAAGCAATTGCTAATCGTATTTCTAGTCTTTTGGAGGAGAATGCTTCATCGCTGACGAGCTATGTGACTAGAAGAGATTCCAAAGCATAGTATATGGACTTATAATTAGCATTCTGACTCAACGTACCTGCTCGTCTCACTTTCACTTCTTCCTTGTCCTACTTAACCGCTAAAGGATAGTCTTTTTAGGCGAAATCTTAGAAGCATGCGAAGGTGGAATAAGTCTTGTATTAGAGTCCCTCTCCTTTCAGTAGAAAGAAGTAGTGGTATGGCTTTGAAGGCCAAGGAAGTGGATTCCCGGTACGAAACGTTAGCTATTCTTCCTTTGCTACCGCCTATTGAAAGAAGTGAATCCGTAGTAACCACATAAATGGAAATAATAAAAACTCTGCCAAAGTCTGGCCTTTAGTTCTTGTCTGCTTTTGATCTTAGAGAAGTTGAGATTCTGTATACGAGTTATCTACGTCTCGAAGGTTGGCAAAGAGCCATAGGAATCTAAATAGGAGAAGAAAGCCCTATTACATAGGAGTAATCATACAAAGCATATAGAAGTCTATATTAGATAGAGAGAACATATACCCTACCAGGTAAGAATTAGCCCTATAAGAGACAGCAATAAATTCACCGGATAACCCACCAGGGATGAAGTGTCTGGTTTGATAGAACAAGGAGGGAGAAGGCGTCTTTGATTCCTAGTTAGGTTAGGAAAGGTAGCTGCAGAGCAAGAACAAGGGCTTTGTACTGGACTGTCTATTATCGTTCGCTTGGACGGGCTACTCACCCGAGCTGCCCTGAGAGCTCTCTTGTTGATTAAGCAAACAAAACAGATTAAGAATGCTTCCTTTTCAGGTCGGGTTAAAAGAAGGGTCTCATCGGGTTATTCACCTAGCTCCCTAGCTTCCTATATAATAGGGCTTTCAACTAGACTCTCTCATTCACTACTACACTACCCTTAACCACCAATATATTGTTTTTTTTTTTCATAACACCAAAAAGCAAACACTAGTATTGGTCTTCTCTCGGCCTCCAATTCGTCAAATTAAAGATTACCAATGACAAAAATTTGAGATTCCACCTCTACTCCATTCTCCTTATCCATATCCTAGCTCTAGCCAAACTCAAAACTCTTTGTTTAGTCTTTTTGACCTATATTAAACAATCAAATCTAGTATATTTAATTATTAATTGTAAAGGTAATTAATTTCGTATTCGATAATACCGATTGGGATACCGAAGTACCGGTTGGGATTCCGAAATATTTAGGGATTGGGATACCGAAATTATTTAGGGATTGGGATCGGGATTGATTATAGGGTGTAATTGGGTATTCGGGATTTTGGTATTTGGTATTGGGTTACCGATACCGTACCGATTTCCACCCCTAACCGTCTTGGTATAAGTTGTACTCGGGTTGGTATTGGTAGCCTTCTTGTTGGTTGCCATGGTACCGCTGGGCTTCTTCTTCATGTGATGGGAATGATTGATGATGACCGCCACCTTGATCATGATACTCATGGTATGAATGTGGAGATTGGTACTCCTGGTGGGAATGATCTTCATATAATTTACCCCCACAGTGGATACCAGATGTTTGGCCATCTACAGAATGACCTCCACCATCATCGACCGCCTCGGTGTAAACGAACATCTCTGCCTGTTTAATGTTGTTGGTCATCAAAAATTGGAGCATGGAATCAACATCCGCCTGAGTGGTAATGAGAAATTCCTCATTCCACAATGACCCGCCATGTCTGTTTGGATATCGATACACCATACGATCAACTCTTCTCGTGTCATCCATGCAGGTAACCTCAGTACACATTTGATGGAGCTCTTCAAGCATCGGTCTCGTAGCAACATTCATTTTATAAAAATTGCCACCGAGGTAACATACCCCCTTCCGGTCTCTTCCGTGTAACCAATCCACTGTAACCCAAGCGTGAACTTTTGGAATGCCATCTGCAATAAAATCGTAATTAAGTTATTACCATAAAAATCACAAATCACAATAAAAAGTATTACAAAACAAACTTATGAATTAACGTTAATCGTAAAAACTCAAAAAATTGATGGTGCACAACTAAAATTTGAAGAAGAATAAGGAGAGAAGTGAAGATTTGAGTGTTCCGGGGTTGCCTTTTATAGGCAAATTTGACACCAAAACCGCAGGGGGAGAGGTTTTCAGTCTGCCATGCAGCCCCCCACCCCTAAAACCTCCTGCATGCCGACATGTAGAATGTCGGGTGAATGAGGATGAGGCATAAACCACAGGGGGGAGGGGCGCGGTTTGTACCTCGACAATATAAACCGCGTACTTGAGGTGCGGTTTATGTTGCCGACGAAAAACCGCACCCTAAGGACGCGGTTTGTGCTAGGGCAGCCACATGAACTGCTCCTTCATATGGCGGTTTGCCCATATAAAGTAAACTGCCACCTCAGGATGCGGTTTATATGTGAACCGCTCCTGCCCCGGGCGGTTTGAAAGAGAATCGCCCCTAAGGGGTGCGGTTTTTTATTAATGGTGGTATTTTTGTAAATATTTTGGGTTGGGTGGTAGTTTTGTAAAAAAAAAATTAAACGATAGTACTTTTGGATTTTTTCCGAGACTAATAAGGATGTGCAGGCTCAGTCAATTGCGTTCTTTGCACAATTTCTCCATCATAAACTCTTACCTGAAGAAGTGGATATGTTACAAGCTAAGGTTATTAGGGAGGAAATCAGGGTTGTCTTTCTCTCTATGGCTAAGGACAAGGCGCCGAGTCCAAATGGGTTTACCTCTTATTTCTATGAGGCTCATTGAACTGTCATTGGTAAAGATGTGGAGAATGCTGTTTTGCAATTTTTCAGATCGAATGTTCTCACAAGGAAGGTAAACTCCACTATCTTGACACTTACTCCTAAACTTGCTAATGTTGAATGGATGAAGAAATTTAGGCTGATCTTGTGCTACAATGTTCCGTATGAGGGGCATCACTAAAATACTTGCTCATAGATTAGCTAAAATTCTTCCAAAGCTTATTCGTAAGTCTCGGTCGACTTTTGTGAAGGGTAGACTCATAGACGATAACATTTTAATGACAAACATATGTTTCTCCTATATGTGTGGTCAAGATCGATTTAGTGAAGGCTTTTGATTCGGTAAACTAGGGGTTTTTGTTTAAAGTCATGAGAGCTGTGGGGATGCCAATCTAGTTTGTCAATCTGGTGCAAGTTTGTGTCTCGTCTCCTATGTTTAACGTGTCTATGAAGTATGAACAGAGGTCTCTATGGTTATTTTGCTAGGGTAAGGGGCTGAGACAAGGGGACCCTCTGTCCCCTTATCTCTTTACCATCGCTATGGAGGTTTTCTATTGTTTACTGCAAAGAGAAGTATCTTCAGGGCATCTGCCTTATCACCCTAAGTGAAAATCGCTTAACTTTACACATTTTTGCTTCGTCGGCGATCTTCTGGTATTCTTCAATGGGTCTGAAGAGGTTGTGGGGAGAATAAAGAATAGGGTTAATACCATTAGGAAACCTGAACTATTAACTTTGTGTCATTTGTGTCCTAAAGTATTCGATATGACAATTGTGTCCCAACCTATTATAGTTTTGTGTCATTTATGTCCTGACGATTTTGTTGACCGTTATATATAACGGTTTACTAGACGGTGGTCAACTTGATGTTGACTTTTGCTAACGTGGTAAACACGTGGCAGCCACGTGCCATGTCATTGACACCTCATATTTTAATTAAAAATTAAATAAATGCTAAAATTGAAAAAAATAAAAATTAAAAAAATATAAACTCACCCAAGCAATCAATCCGAACAATTAAATAAATACTAAAATTAAAAAAAAATCAATGCAATAAAAAATTCTCCGGCGCCTAGCCCATAAATCCTCGCCGCTTGAATGCTCTCTTAGTCATTGTCAAACAAGAATGCTCTCAAACAATCAATTCCGGCCGCCACTGTCGAACAATCAATCCCCGCCCGCCGCTGTCAAACAATCAATTCTTTGCCTCCCCGTCGCCTTACCTCCAAATCCAGAAGTTCGATATCGCCTCCACCACCGACATTGTCACCACCGCCGCCGCAGATGGAATCGAGAAGTTCTCTATCCCGTCACACCAGCTGGTCATCGAGCACGAGATGGACAAGAACCCCTGGGCCACCAACCCAAACGCCGACGCCGAGCTTTTCTTCATGAGCTCCTACGCCTGAGCGAGGCTTGTTGGGTGTTGTCTCTCCGGTTGCAGGTCGTCCACCACCACCATAACCGCCACCCTCCCCTTCTTCGCCGCCCCGCCACCGAACAGATCCAGGTGCGGGAAGTGGATCTGGAAGTGGTGGTGCTTTCCCCCTCCCCCGTCGTCGGCGACGGCTGGTGGTGGCATCGTTTGTGTTATACTCTCCTCCGACGCGACGCTACTGCTCCCCAAATCAGCTAGCTAGATACAGTCTTTGACAAACAGAAAAATCGAAAACGAAATTGAGAACGGAGTAAGCAAAGCGCGGTGGTGGCAGGGGATTATAAGAGGGAGAAGGAGAAGGCGGAGAAAGGCCAGGGGTCGGATGAAGGGATAACGATCTAGGGTTTGCAATCTAGATTTACCTTCCCGCGTTCTCGATTTGGATATGGGGGAGTTGAAGAGACGCCTGCGGTTGCGGAGGGGGAGAGGGAAGCTTGAGTCTCCTTCCGATGGAGAAGTCGATGGGGGAGGATGATGACGCCGGTGAGCTGAGTCAGCCGCGACGGGAAGAACATCGATGGGGGGAGGATGATGACGACGATGAGGAGTAAGCGGTGGATGACTGTAGAGGGGATATGAGGAGAAGGAAGAGGAAAACGAGCGACGACGAAGCCCACCACCGTCTCCGTCTCCAACTCTCGAAGCCCACCACCGCCGTCATCAGAGTCCGCGGCCTAGACCAGAGTGGCCGCCATCTCCGCCAGTGAAGGGTAAATCCCCAAATCGATTTACAATTGACGGTAGAGGTTGGGAGACGGGAGAGGGAAGGGTAAATCCCCAAATCAGTTAGTTTATGTTTTTTATTTTTGTAATTTTTTTATTTTCTTTTCTTATATGAAAAATAATTATAAATACCACTTCAGATGCCACCTCAGCGCTGACTAGACTTTCTATTAAAAATTAACGGTCAACATTGGTCAACTCTAACGGAAAAATAGTTTGGGACACAATTGTCATATCGAATACTTTAGGACACAAATGACACAAAGTTAATAGTTCTGGTTTCCCAGTGGTATTAGCCCTAAAGAATATCCTCTCAGAGTTTTACTATCTTTCAGGCCTGGCATTTAATTTGCATAAAAGCCATATTTTCTTTGGCGGTATTGTAGAAATGAATAAGCAGGTTATTGCAGATAGAACTGGATTTCCTCTAGGTTCTCTTCCAATCAAGTACTTATGGGTGCCCCTTCTCACAAGGAAGCTCTCAAAGACTGATTGTCCTTTGTTAGTGGAGAAAATTACAGCTAGAGTCCGGGGATGGAAGAGTTTATTATTAAGTTATGCTAGTAGGATGCAGTTGATCTCTTCTGTTATAACTAGTGTCTTGCAATATTGGATGGTCATATGTCTCCTCTCTTAAGGGGGTTCTCCACGAGATTGAAACTATTTGTAATAAGTTTTGTGGGGAGTGAGCGATAGTGGATCACGGTCGAGAGCTCTTGTTGATTGGAAGTATGTTGTCCTTCTCAAAACTGAGGGAGGTTTGGGGATCAGAGACTTTGAGTTATGGAACAGAGGCTTTGTTATCAATAGGAGTGTTCAAATGGTTACCATGGTAATTACCAAATCAAAGAAGCTAAAATTCTATTAACCATGGAATACAATATCATAACCAAACCGTCTAAACTAATACAACAACCAAATTAACCAAACTAAAGTTTAATCGATTTGGTTAATTGGTTAACCAGATTAACCAATATAACATTAAATTCTCATTAAGCGAGAAATTTTTTGGTTAATGCATCGATTCACAATTTATATGATGAATAATATATTGCAATGAACACATAGTTATAGTTAACCCTTACAGAAATACATGCAACTAATACAATTATCTTACAGTAAATAGAAGTATTCACATAACAAAAATATGACAAAATATACTTGTATAGCCAAAACTTCTGCGTTTTTGTCAATTATAGCCAATTTTGGAGAAATACCACTAATAGCCACTTACGTCGAATTCTTTAACGGTGTTAGATAATAGAATGACTAGACAAACAAAAAGGCTGTGTTGGCGAGTTTCTCCCATGACAATTCCACATTGGATTAATTTTAAAAAATAAAATAAAAAGGAACTCTTAAGTCTTCACACATCTCTCCCTTTTCACTTTCCCCTTCTCTCTCTTTGCATCCCTAATTTTCCGAACCACCACTGCCGCGACCCCGACGCCACTTCCCCCTTCGCTCCCGGGGTTTCCTAGCCACAATACCCTCTCCTCTCCGACAATCACCTACCCAAACCAGACCTCCGCCGCCCAGATATGGGTTTGGGGATTTAAGAATCTGGTAAATGCTACAGTTGATGCTGATTGTTGCGGTTCTGCATCTTCGAATTGTCCGGAGCCCAGATCTGGAACTCCCCTCCCTTGTTTTACCTCCCCAGAATTTCAGCCACCGCCCATCTCTACTCCACCAAAACACTGCTCACCCTTCTCCATTTGTCGTCGAGCCCAGCCGCCGAGCTGAGAACGAAGACTTCACCACTGGTCGCCGAGAGGAGGAGGAAGGAGACTCCTCGTCGCTATTCCATTTGCCACGTTAAAGGGTATGGGGCGAATTGGATGAAGGTGAATAGGTGGTGTGAGATGATTTTCGTGTGTGAGTGGAAGATTAGAGGGAAGAGAGAGGTAGAAGATTGGAGGGGCAATAGTGGGTTTGAGGGGAAGATCGGAGGGAAAGAGAGGTGAAGATTGGAGGGAGGGGGAGAGTGACAATGCTTTTTCAGAAGAAATCTGTGGAGAGAGAGGGGAAGATCAGAGGGAAAGAGAGGTGAAGATTGGAGGGAGGGGGGAGAGTGACAATGCTTTTTCAGAAGAAATCTGTGGAGAGAGAGGGCAAGATAGGAGGTCACGGGATTTTTGTTATTTATC